CACATACCCTCCCCTAATGCTTTAAATCTTCTCTAAATTACTTATAATAGCAAATATGATGTAAATGCTATGTAAATAGTTATCACACTGTATTATTTGCATTTATTATTGTAACGTTATCTTTTTTACTTTTTGCACGTTTTTGATCTGTGGTTGATTGAATCTGAGGATGTGGAACTTGCAGGTAGGGAGGGCTGACTGCTTGCTTTTTGTTAGTCCTCTCTCCCTCATACCTCCAAGCTCCTAGAATTTCCTTTCCAAGGTGCTTAGCACCGTCCCCAACCCATCAACCGTTTCTTTTTTTTTTTTTTTTTTTTTTTTTTTTTTTTGAGACGGAGTCTTGCTCTGTCACCCAGGCTGGAGTGCAGTGGCCGGATCTCAGCTCACTGCAAGCTACTCCTCTCGGGTTTACGCCATTCTCCTGCCTCAGCCTCCCGAGTAGCTGGGACTACAAGCGCCCGCCACCTCGCCCGGCTAGTTTTTTGTATTTTTTAGTAGAGACGGGGTTTCACCGTGTTAACCAGGATGGTCTCGATCTCCTGACCTCGTGATCCGCCCGTCTCGGCCTCCCAAAGTGCTGGGATTACAGGCTTGAGCCACCGCGCCCGGCCAACCGTTTCTAACTGTAACTTCACTGACTGTAACTTCACTGACGTCTGCAATTCCCTTGGGCATGAATGATCTTTGAGCCTAACCCTCACAGGGGCACTTGCACCTCTCAAGGAGAGTTTGCTGAGATGGGATTAGTAGACTCTGGAGGAGAAGAGATTTCTTTTTGTCCACTTACTGATTGGCACCCTCACCCAGGGGAGGAAGAGCTAAGCCCATGGCTGGAAGGTCAACATGCAGGTGTGGGGGATCTCGTTAATGAGAATCCCACCCGCCTCCTGGTCCAGCAGTGCCAGCCACTGAGCAGAGGGGCCCAGCTAAAATGTCAGGTGAGATCATCTTCCCAGAGGCTATTAATGGGAGGTGATGCAATTCTTTTGAGGGCCCTGTTTATAGCTACACACAACAGCACCAACCCTGAGGAGGCGGCCATGGGGCTATCAATCTGTCAGGCTGGCCTTTTCCTAATCAATGGGCCTTCCTGGTTGTTAAGAGCCTCACTAAACGCTGATGCTGACATCTCAGCCTGGAAACATGTAAATTCTGCAGCAGAGGTGAAAATTCTGCAGCAAAATTGTTCCCAGAGGGAATGTGGCACAAATACTTTTGATTCAAGTGGGGGTGTGAGGGGGAGATGGAACTGTGTCCTGCCTTCTCCTGACCGCCCCTCCCTGCAAACAGAAAGTGCCCGTCTTCCGGCCTTGTGGTCCATCTGTGATACCAGGGAGTCCTGGTGATTCTGACCAGGCTCCTAGGAGTGTGTTTGGTGTCTTGGAAAAATGTCCAAAAGGGAAGCAAGAAGACAGAAAACTGTGGGATAGTCAAGTTTTGTTTATGCAGCTGCAAATGCCTTTGAAAAAGTCCAGTGGGGTGTGCCAGGTCAGTACCAACATCCACAGGCAGGGGCAGGAAGCAGCAGCTGCTGCTAAGGCATGAAAAAGGAATCCTGGCTTTACAGAAGAGGCGACTCCCCCAGCTCCACCCCACACACAACGATTTTCTCTAGATACTAGGCCTCCTTTAGGAACTGCAAGCAGATTGCACCTCCAACCCCCATCTGTGCCATCTCTCCAGCCCCTTACTCCAGTGAAACCCAGGGCACTCTCACACCCACTTCTCTCCTGCCCAGGACCCCTCCCCGCTGCCCTTCCCTCAGTGGAGTTTTACAGGTGGCACCCCTCCACCCCTTCCCTTCACTGGCTGTTTTGATGGCTGCAGCCTGGGCTCTTCTGCCTTCACCCACCTGTTTTCCCAGGAAAGGAGCACATAGGGCTTGTGGGAGGCTTGAGTCTCTGCCTCCTCCTAAGTGGGAGGGGGAACTGCAGAAAGGCTGTGAGCCTGCAGGCTGTCCCCTACAGTGAACAAGCCAGTGGAAGGAGGCAGAAATGTCCCTTTCCTTGCTTGGCCTGGTCTCACTTTTCTGAGTTAGGTCTCGACATGGATACGCTCTCTTTTTTATTCTTCTTCTATGGGACCATCAGTTTTCTGAGCAATTTTTCTCCCCAGGAAAAGCTCCAAACGTTCTTCCTTTTGTACTGTTATAAAACCCAAGAGACTTGAGAGACACAGCAACCAAATGCCACATGTGGACTGTTTGGATCCTGATTTGAACAAACCAGTTGTAATGGGACACTGTTGGGAGTGGTGGGGACATGTGAGTATGGAGTGGGAATTCAGGTGAGATAAAGGAACTACTGCTGATTTTGTCAGGTGTGATAATGGCACGGGGTTATATTAAAAAGAGAGTCCTGGCTGGGTACAGTGGCTCATGCTTGTAATCCCAGTACTTTCGGAGGCCGAGGCAGGCAGATCACCTGAGGTCAGGAGTTCAAGACTAGCCTGGCCAACATGGTGAAACCCCATCTCTACTAAAAATACAAAAACTAGCCAGGTGTGGTGGTGGGTGCCTGTAATCTAAGCTACTCGGGAGGCTGAGGCAGGAGAAGAATTGCTTGAACCTGGGAGGTGGAGGTTGCAGTGAGCCAAGATCGCGCCATTACACTCCAACCTAGGTGACAAGAGTGAAACTCTGTCTCAAAAAAAAAAAAAAAAAAAAAAAGAAGAAGAAGAAAATCCTTAGCAGAGATTTATGCTGGAGAATTTATGAGTTACATAAGTCTGAAGTTTGCTTTAAAATACCCCAGAAGAAAAGTAATGGGAGAGATGAATGAAAGAGGACCCGCATGACTTGATTCTTGCTGGAGCGGGGTCATGGGTCCTGGAATCCACTATCCCATTCCTTGTACTTCTGTGCAAGTTTTGACAATTTTCCTGCTGAGGGGACCATAACAAAAAGTTTAAAACTCTCTTTTAAATCTCTGTCATCTCCCTCTCTTTAATCTCCATTCAACTGTTCCAAGTTCCCAACCCCAGCCTGGGCTCATCCCCCCGCCCTTCCAGATTTCACTCATGCCTTCCTCAAGGGACACAGTTTGGGGGTGGAAGGGGGTGGTCACTGGTGGGGACAGAGTCCCTGGGAAGGCCTCTTTTCTCTACCACCCGCTTACCCTTTCTCAATCAGAATTCCTCTCTCCTTTGATTCCTAGGAGATGAGGAAGCTCTATTTTATCACTCACCACAGCTTTTCCCATCTAGTTGGCTGGGTCCCCATCTGCTCCAGACACTGAGTCTTTTATTTGAGGTTGTCTTGTCCTTGTCTGTAACCTCCCCCTGAGCCAGAGCACAATCAGTGTTTGTTCAATGGCACTGGACCCTTCTGCAATGTGAACATGCCCACTGTGGGGTCAAGAATTTCACAGACCAAGGAAAAACGGCATCCAGTTCCACAGACATTTACAGAAAGTTGACAGTAGGGATGACAGCTGGGCACACAGCCACCTCCAGCATGGGCCGGGCCACCTGTGCTGCGTGATGGAGTGAGGTAGGAAGCCACCATCTTCATGATCACCTGCAGGGGTGGGGAGGGCCCATGGGGGAGACTCCGACTCTTTCTGCCATTATTCCTCTGCTCATTCCCTTCACTGCCAGGCTCCCGCAGCTGCAGAATCATCAATTACCAAACCATCACCCCACCTTCTGAGACACAGTCAGGCAATGCTAGGCTGTGAGCACCTGCCTCACAGCAGGGACAGGCAGCTGCCTTCCCCAAGGGCCAGCTCGCCAGCTTCCTTGAGAATCATTATTCAGGGCAATGTCATACACTCACTTTCCCCTCCCAAACAGCCCAGGATGGTGTTTGAACAGAGCACAGAAGCCGACCTTTCATTTGCAGGCTGGGCTGGACTCAGTGGCTCACACCTGTAATTCCAGCACTTTGGGAGGCCGAGGTGGGTGGATCACCTGAGGTCAGGAGTTCGAGACCAGCCTGACCAATATGGTGAAACCCCATCTCTCCTAAAAATATAAAAATTAGCCAGGCGTGGTAGTACACACCTGTAGTTCCAGCTACTCAGGAGACCGAGGCAGGACAATTGCTTGAACCTGGGAGGCAGAGGTTGGAGTGAGCCGAGATAGTGCCACTGCACTCCAGCCTGGACAACACAGTGAGGCTGTCCCCCCGCCCCCCCCCAAAAAATTTGCAGTTTAGTGAATTAAAAATCCTCAATGGCAGAGGGGCTGCCCACAGAGCAGCACCCACAAGCCTTCCTCCTCTAGGCACCAGCGAAACAGTCCACTCCCATAGCCCTTCCTGCCATTGTTAGCCCTCAACACTGTTGTAAAAAGTCAGCTGAGGGCGTGTGGGGTGCAGAGATAAGCAGGTCCTGTGGCTGCATCCCACAGGACCCCCTGGCTCCCCCAGCATCAGGTTCCGACGCCATGGGAGGACGGGACTTCGGCTGGCCAGGACACAGAAGAAGGTCACGGTCTCCTCTGCTTTCCCCAAAAGACTTGGGGGCATTTCTCAACTCTCTTTGTCTTTAGAAGCTCTTTGTACAGAGAAAGGCCTGTTTATGACACGTCTAAGTGAGAAGCAGTTACAATAACTGGATGTGAGCACAGAGAGGACGATCTCACTGCTGTAAGGAACACCACTTAGAGTTCGGAGTCCAGCTTGGGGCTGACTAAACGGGTGACTCTCAGTGCTGTGTGTAACTGATCACGATTCTAAAATAACCACTTTTCCCTCCCTTTTCCCAATTTCCCCCATTCAAATCATTGCCGATATTTTACTCTTTTACTGTATTCTATTTTTATTTTTTGAGACAGAGTCTCACTCTGTCACCCAGCCTGGAGTGCGGTGGTGCAATCTTGGCTCACTGCAACCTCCACCTTCCAGGTTCGAGAGATTCTCCTGCCTCAGCCTCCCGAGTGTCCTGAGTAGCTGGCCCTAAAGACACCCACCACCACGCCCAGCTAATTTTTATATCTTTAGTAGAGACAGGGTTTCTCCATGTTGGCCAGGCTGGTCTCGCACTCCTGACCTCATTTGATCCACCCACCTCGGCCTCCCAAGGTGCTGGGATTACAGGCGTGAGCCACCACACCGGGCCTGCATTCTATTTTGACCTTCACCAAAGAGCTTGCCCTGTGTTGCCCCATCAGTGGCTTCCTCTCCTTAGAAACCTGGCTGTGTGAAGGTAAAGTTCTGTTAACATGACCAAAGGGACATTTAATATTTGCAGTGTCTCAGCACCAAACATGTATACAACTTCCTGTGACAGGGCAGGTAAGACCTTGCAGAGACTGTAGACAGGTCATTTGAACCAATTCTCTTGGGTGGGATGTAGGAAACGGAGCTTTTGTCATCTTTCACTGGTTCCAAGATGTACATTTTTGGATCTCTGAAGTCAGGAGGCATCTCCCAGACGATGGTATCATATTCTTACTGTTGGCCTGGAGAGAAGGCAGGTGCTCTGGAAGAGGACAGTACTGTTTCTGCTAGCCGTCCAGGGCCACCCAGCCTCAGACTGTTGGACGTTACATTCTCTGCTTGATGTTCTTTTAGATCACACTGATTGTACAAATTCAGAAAGCAAACCTGCATGAGTACCACCGACTTGGGACTCCTGTTCTCAGGGGAGGATTTTTCACCCCCACTCAGTGTCAAGGTTGAGACACACGGGTTTCCTTGCTCCCCCTTTCTCATTTACCCTCTCACTGAGGGCATCACAGCTTTATTTGGTGGGGGTAGAGGGAGGTTCCTATTAGACTCCCCATCTTAGGCTTTTTTTTCTTAGTGGTCCATAAAATGATGATGCATCTTATCACCATGGTTTCTCGTAAGTGATGAAGAAAGTTTTTATTACAAATATTGTATATGATATTTGAAATGATCCTTCATGTGAATAGAAAAGGAGATAGGATTTTGAAGAAATGGTTTCATGAGATGAAACTTTCCTGTCTTGTCCTAAACCACTTCCTATCTGAGCTGTTCATGAGGCATTCCTTCCCCAGCACTGGGAACCTGCTGGCTTCCCTTGACTTTTGGGATAAAGGCAGAGTTCTTCTACATGGCCAAAGCCCTGCTGGTCCTGCCTGTTCTCTGGTCATTTCCACACTATATTCCATTCTCTCCCCTCCAGCTTTCAATCCTCGCATTCTCAACCTTCCACATCACCTCTCATCACAGAGCCCTGGTATGGTGGCTCTGTTGGGAAACTTCTCTCTCCCTGGTTGGCTTAGCTGATCTCTGTTCCAGTGTCACTCTTCAGGACGCTTCCCCCGACGCTGTCAGACCCCGACGGCAGGCCCCTGCAGCACTACGTGCTTCTCTCCCAGCATAAACACAAGCTGCAGCTCTACCTTTCTGTGATTCTTGATCAATGTTCAAATCCTTCGCTGGACTGAGCACTCCGTGAGGCAGGAATCAGGCCTGTTTTTACTCAACATTGTATCCCCAGAGTCAAGCCAGGCAACTGGCAGTTGGTTGATGCCTAAGTATAATTTGTAAATGGATGGATGAATCCAGGTGTGAGCTGCCCCCACAAGCAGGCAGTAAACCTCTGGAGCCTGGCGCAGCCAGGGGAAGCAGAAAGAGCAACAGACTTGTCATCAGAAGGCCTCTACTTTTGCCATAATGATGTGACCTTGGGAAAATCCCATCCTCTGTCTGTTTCCTCATCTCTAAATTGGGAATATCATTTAGTCTGCCTGTAAGATAGGGATATTTTGTGAGGCTGTGAAGACACTTTGAACTATACAAGTTATGCCCCACCCACAAGCTTCTAGCTCAGCAATGGGCTCCTATGCCAAGCTCTGTTGTTATGAGTTAGTTGACTGTCCCCTTTCCCAGAGAAAGGGAGATGAGATCTTATCATCCTTGGGGAGGGGTGCTCAAAGCTTTGGGTAATGAAAGGACCATGTGGCCTTGTGCTTCCTCATCTTTACATTCGCCCTTTTCAAAAACCCTCATGGAATTTCTTAGGCCTTCAAGGCCCAATGGCCTAGGTATATAAGAAAAGGAACCTCTTGTTGAGGACCTTCTGGTCTTTATTCTTGACACAAAGTTGGGGCCATTAGCCAGAAGAGGGAAAAGGGTGGGGAATGGGAAGACTCCTTCTTTCCTTCTCTCCTGCTTGCAGACTGGTCTTCAGACAGAGACACGGCTGAGCAGGGACAATGACTGTACCTTCTGGGACAGAGCTCCTGGGACAATCATCTGCAGGTGTATGCATTGCACCTACACCTGGCAGAATGCATGAAGTTGCTTACTTTGCCTCTGGGACCTGGACTTTAATATTAAGGTAGCTATTTACAGCAAAGCCTTACTACTTTCTCCCATATACCACATCTTAGAGATGGGAATCCTGGGTTTCTGTTTCATCTGTATTGATTAACTATATCATTTTCCCTCTCTGAGTCAATTTTCTCATCAGTTACATGGAAATAATAATAATAATAATAATAATAATAATAATAATAATAATGCCACCCACCTTCCTATCTCACTGAGTTCTTTTAAGGATCAAGTGAGGTCATTTGTCAGACATAAGTGCACGGTAAGTGAAAAATCAATGCAAACGAAAGGCAATATTATTTTCTCTATGCATTTTAAATTCCTGCTTCTGTAGCAGGAAAGCACCATGCTGACTTAGTTATACTGAATTAACTCAAATATTACCCAAGATCTACAGTCCATAAGGTATGTAGGCAGAGAGTGAGATGTGAACAAATCCTTCATCACAAATCAATTCTCAAGCAACTCTCCAGGGCCAGCCATTCTCCCTCTGGAGAAGGGGACCCTAAGGGGTATTCACTCTCTAATTGTTTTAACAGCTTGGCTGCCCTGCCAGCATCCTCCCAGAAAACCAGATTGGTGAGGGGAGGTGCAGAATGAAGAATGAACTGACACCTCAGCGATTCTGGATTCTGTGGAGAGGGTGGAAGGCTATACTACAGACACACACCCCTGCAGGATAATTCTAGCTGGATGCCGCAGCAGGATGGATGAGAACATGCTTCTGCAAACCTCTTGGAATGCATCACTGACTAAATTCTGGTGATCAGAGCTTCCAGCCGGCCAGGACTTCCTCAGTGCATGATCTGCTGAGCAGCTCTGACAGGGGTTCACTGGTGTCCTGGCGAAATGCAGAGCCCAGGCCCTCGGAGCTCCCACTCTCCAGCTGGAAGCTGCCCACCAGCTCCTGGATCCACTGCAGGTCTGCGGAGAACTCCTGCCTCAGAATCTCAAACTGGGTTTGCAGATGGTCCAGTTTCCTGGCCACACTTCCGAGGCTAGATCCCGTGGCCTGGATGTCTTCTCGCAGCAGCTTCTTCAATGACTCTACCTTGCGGAACTCATACCTGAGCTGGGACAGGTCGTGCCGGGTGCTCTCGTTCTCCTCTCGGTACCAAGCTTCCTTCTCATTGAAGATGGAGACCAGGGCCTCCACATCGTCCTGGATGGTATCGTTGGCCTCCACCAGGGCATGGAATCCCAGGTCCACCCGAGCCACGTCTTCCACCACACAGGCAAAACGTTCAAAGTTGACGTAGGAGTTGTTGCGAGGCATGCTTGAGTGGCATTTGAGAGTGTACTCTCTCAGGCGCTTGGTTTTCAGCTGGGTGGGCTCTGTCTTCCGCTCTTCGGGGGCTCTGACTTCTCCTTTTGACTGGTGGGTGTTCAGACAGAAGAACCAGAGTGTTAATTTGCCACCCGCCCCAGAGGGCAGTTCGAGGGGCAGGCAGAAGGCACACACAAGCGGCCTCTGGCATTCATTGCATGCATCAGGGCGGGGAGAACCAGGGCGGGATGAGCAGCCCCACAGACCGTAAGTGAGGTCAAGGAGTGTGGGGCTGCTGCCTGCATGCTCATTCAGGGCAGAGGGGTCCACAGTCATTACAGAGAGCTCCACACGCATAGCATTTAAGGGGTGCTCACGCAGACAAGCAGGCTGCAGCCAGGACTCCACAGGCATCTGCGCAGGGCTGCAGAGCGTGAGGCCAGGGCTCACGCAGCGGGGCTGAGGAGCATCTCTCCTTCAGGGCTCCTTGGGCCTTCCCCATCCTTCAATGAGCAGATGAAGCTGAGCAGATGAAGCCGACCTCCTCTCAGACTACTCCAGCCCTTCCTGTTCTGTCTTCCACAGGCCTCACCTTCTCTTTGTATTGATTATTATTTTTTAGAGAGATGGGGTCTTGGCATGTTGCTCAAGTTGGTCTTCAACCCCGGGGCTCACGCCATCCTTCTGCTGCCTCGGCCTCCTAAAGTGCTGGGATTATAGGCATGAGCCACTGCGCCTGGCCTGCCTCCCCCTCTCTTTATCTCCACCTTTCTTACGGTCATTTCATCCTTGCTGGCCTTCTCATGTAACAGTTAAGGTGAATGGGAAGTCTGGTGATGTCCCTGGGTGTGCACAGCCAGCCAGTCAGCAGAATTAGGGCCTGAATCCTGCTGAGTCTCACCCTCTCAAAGTGCTCTTCACTACACCAGACCACAACAGCCTCTGGAAAGCCAGCAGCCGGAAGCCCAACTGCAAGGCGAGTTAGGCAGGGATTCATCTTTTTGCCCCAACTCTCCCCAGAGGGAACAGAATTGCCCTGACAGTGGCTGTCTCTCTTCCCCACCAGGCCTCTGTCTTGGGCCCCATCCCTCAGGGCCTGAGGAAGTGGGTGGCTGATTTAAGTGTCATCCTTGACTCAAAGCCCCAAAAATCAGAAGGAAGGAGGGCTGGTCACAAAGTTGGGGTTTTCAATTGTCATTGATCTCTCTATACCTGGGGAGTCCTGATTTCCACTTGGAGAAGTGGCAGTGACACACCCTCCAACAAAGAACACTATGTAAGTTGGCCCCAAAGAAAAAGGGTTTCAACTGAGGTTTGTGAGAGTTTCATTTCATAAGTTACCTGAATTTGAGACACACAAACTTAAAATGGCAAGCAAATAAACTTATTCGAACAAGCCCAGGCCCTTTGGGGCCCCTGGCTAGCTTTCATCTGTGCCCAGGGTCAGCGTTTCAAGCAAAGGCCTCTCTACAGGCCCTCTGCATCTGGCTGCCTAGGCCAACACTGGCGACAGAGCAGGGACCCTTTGCCCATTGGAACTCATGGCTGTGCCCTTACCGTGATCCAGGGGTGTCTGAGAGCCTCTTGGATTGTGAGCCGTTTCCTGCAATGAGGATTGGGAAACAGTGATGATCCATGAGGACAGAAGTTGGGAGCAACCATTTCCGTTCTCACTCTTTTTAGACCTATATTTTGGTATTATTTGGCCGCTGCTGTCAAACCAGTGGAATGGAGGATGCAGAGATGGATGGGAACTGGCCGCAAATTCTGCACTCCAGGGGAAGGAAGCAGTCCAGGCAAACCCCTCAATAGGGTGGCCTTGTTACCTAAACCCATACTGTTAGTCCCAAAGCTGAATGGCCTAAGAAGTCACAAATGCTCTAATGAGCTTCCATAATCTTCCAAAAGCCAACCCTCCATTGCTAAATCCCTGGTCTCTGTTTTTCTGTTTGCCTCCTGGATCCGTTCTCTGCCTTTTGCTGCTCTGTACCCAGGTAAGTGACTCTCCCTAGCACTGCTCTTAGACAGGAAAATCAGGGCCCTTGCACTCCAGACAACCCCACTCTGGCCCTCTCTGAAGTCTGTGGGATAGAGAGGACATGGTATTCTCGTCTGTGGACCTTTCTTCCTGCTCCATCCAGGGCATGCTCCGGGTACCCAGCACCCTGCAATCCCTGCCTATTTCATTCTTTGACCCCACAGCCACGGGGCTCACCCTGGCCCCTGGAGAAGGGATAGGGTTAGCATGTCTTCCACCGCCGCACTGTACTGACCTCTCCGAGCCTACTAGCTCCTACTCCCAACCTGAACTGGCTTGAAAACCCTGCCACTTAACCTTTTCAAATCTGAATTCCAGGTGCCTTTGGGACAGACTGCACAAGGTAATGAGCCCTAAAGAAACCCAGGCTGACTTCCAGCACACACGCACACACACACACACACACACGTTATTTACATTTCAACAGGAGAAGAAAGCAGAAAGACTTGAGCAAACAAGACGAATGCCACATCTTGGCTAGGCCACACTTCCCAGCACCTGCCCGGATTAGACCACAATGGTGCAGATGACAGCTATGTCAAAGCAGGGACACACTGACAGGTCTTTGCCAGAGGCGACAGGAAGGGATCGGTACCTGAGAAACCAGTGGCTTCTCTGTCCTCTTACCGGGTCTCTTTAACCAGAAGCTTCCGAATGAAGTCCTTGGCCAGCTCGCTCGTCTGGCTGAAGAATTCCTCATCAAAGTCGTAACTCACTGCCGTGATATTTGCCAGTGTTTCCTGCTTCGTGTCTCCCAGGAAAGGGGATGCTCCACTTAGGCTGAGTACAACAGACAGGGAATCACATAACTAAGGGAAAAGTAGGTGGAAATGGGGATGACGGACTAGGGGAACCCTGCCCCATGACTGCTGCATGGAGCTGGAAGGCTCCCAGCAACACAGCCTGCCCGCTCTGGGCAGCCAACCAGCAACCCGTTCAGCTGAATCCAATTCAATACGTGTTCACGGAGCTCCTCCTAAGCACCCGACAGAAACTGTGTCTTCAAGGGATGTGAAAGCGGAGGGGAGAGAAACACAGAGACATATCTCTTTGTGATCCCCAGCAGGACAAAGCAGAATATAATGGAAGGCCAGCCAAAGGACAGGGGAGCACAGGAAAGAGGGAGGCCCAGTGCGGCTTCACGGTGACATGGATATTTGCATCGTTTGTGTCTTGAAGAATAAAGAGGTTGTCAGCAGTCAGAGAAGGAGACAGAAAGCCCTTCTGGGTTACAGGAGCAACTTAAGCAGAGCCCAAGAAGTTTGGAAATAGATGGGCCATTAGGGACAGGAAGGATCTATGTGGTTCCCCAACAGGTACTGTCAAAGATGTCATACAAATAATGACTTCTAAATCTACTATCTCCTGACTCAGATTTCAGCTGCTCATGGGATGCCTTGGTAGAGGCATGATCCAGGGGTGTCTGGATCAGAAGTGCCATTGTCCCAAACTTATTGTGTCCAAACCCATTCCAAGCATTCCCTTGATGAATGACATTACTTCATGAATGTACCCAAGCTAGAAGCACAGGAGTCACCTTGGACCCTTCTTTCTATTCCCTTGACACATCTGACTGGCCAAAAGCTTCCTTGTTGGTTCCGTTTACTAAATATCTCTTGAAAGTCATCCCCATTTCCACAGCCACTTTCTTAGCATGGTGGCAGCAAGATGCACTGGAAACATTTTGATATTGCAATTTGAGAAGCCACTCATTAGCTGTGTGAAGCTAGAACCCCTCTGAGCTGTAGTTTCCTCATCAGTAAAATAAAGAAAATGAAATTCCCACCTCACATGATTGTTGTAAAGAATAAATGCATACAAAAGCCTTATGTAATCCTGGCCCACATTAAGGGCTCTGGAATTAATGGCCATTATTATTGTTATTGTGAGAACACAAAAGCCCTCTATGACCTTCCATCTTCTATAGGATCACATCTAAACTCCTGAGCAAGGCATCAAGCATTGGTCCTTACCCCATGCTTGGTACATTTCAGCCGAACTTAAGGTTTACCATTCCTTTTCTCACGCTGTTTCCTCAGCCAGCACAGCCCTTTCCTCCTTCTCCACCCACATCCCATTCATTCCCTACATCCCAGTTCAAATCGATCCATCAATCATGTGCTCTATTTCTCTCTCAATAAACCTTCAGCAAACCAGTGGCTCCCATCTGTGTCTCAAAGAGGCGTGTTCATGCCTCCAGCCTAACCTTGGTTCCACTGGGTGTGAGTTAGGTGTATGGTGTGTTTCCCACAGACAGGGAGCCCCAGCAAGCAGGGAAGACCCTCCTTCATGTCGCATCCTGGGGCCTGGTACGGTGCCTGCCATGGAGCAGATCTCAACAAAGCTGTTAAATTCAAACGAGCCACAAGAAGACTATGCCTTCAGCAGACACTGGGATTCCTTCTTTTTTGAGACGGGATCTTGCTCTGCTGCCTAGGATGGAGTGCAGTTGTGCGATTACGACTCACTGTAACTTCTGGGCTCAAGCGATCCTCCTGTCTCAGCCTCCCAAGTAGCTGGGACTGTAGATGTGTGCCAGCACAGCCCGCTAGTTTTTTGTTTTGTTTTTTGTAGAGACAGGGTTTTGTCATGTTGCCCAGCCTGATCTTGAACTCCTGGACTTAAGCATCTGCCCACCTCAGCCTTCCAAAATGCTGGGATTACATGGGATTCCTTCATAGTTCAAATCAGAGTCCTGAAGAAATCAAAGTTTCAAGAGCCAGAGTCAGACTATTCTGGCTCTGATCTGAAACTATAGATTGATGGTTCTCAGCCTTCTCTTTGCATCAAATTCAGCTGGAGTTTTAAAAGATACAGATACTAAGACTCTATCCCCAGCAATTGTGATATAATAGATCTGGGGTGGGGCCTGGGCCATGGTGGGTATTAAAAGCTCTGCTGTGCAGCCAGGGTTGAGATCTGCTGCTGCAGCTCAGGGGGATCCACCATGTCACACAGGGTTCCTACTCCAAGTGCTGCTGGGAGAGTCAGAGACCTGGTTCACAGGGATCATTGAGAGAATGACCCCCTCAGCTGCTGAGCACTGGTGCCCCCTGCACCAACCGGTTGACTCTTACTCCAGTGTGCTATAAAAATAGCATTTTCCATGTGTGCCGTGAAGGGAAAATGGTTGGGAAGGGCTGATGGAATGAATAGTCACTAGCCCACTGTGCATGTGCCAGAGCCAGGGCTAGGAAACTTGCACATGTTGACTTATTTAGCTTTCACAACACACCCATGGCAGGAAGTTTGTGATTCTCGTTTTTCTCATGAGAAAAACAAGCCCAGAGGTTAAGTCCCTACCCAAGGTCACAGAGATGGAAAGTGATAGTATCATGGGACTCCAGCCCCAGAGGTAACTCACTACACACTGGAGCTATGCAGGAAATCTCTGTCTAAGCAACTGAATACAGGCAAAGAGGAAGGAGAAAGGAGGAGAGAGACAGTGAGAGGAAGAAAAGGGGATCTGGGGAAATGAGGAAAGAAAGAAGAGGCAAGATTGGGGAGGGCATAAGTAGCTTCACAGGGCTGTCCAAAGAGTTCTGAGTGAAGGGGCCGGGCGCAGTGACTCACACCTGTAATCCCAGCACTTTGGGAGGCTGAGGCAGGTGGACCACAAGGTCAGGAATTCAAGACCAGCATGGCTGGCCAACATGGTGAAACCCTGTCTCTACTAAAAATACAAAATGAGCCAGGCTTGGTGGTGGGTGCCTGTAATCCCAGCTACTTGGGAGGGTGAGGCAGGAAAATTGCTTGAACCCGGGAGGGGAGGTTGCAGTGAGCCAAGATTGTGCCACTGCACTCCAGTCTGCGTGACAGAGCAAGACTCTGTCTCAAAAAAAAAAAAAAAAAAAAAAAGAGTTCTGAATGAAAAGTAACGTTCTCCCGTACACCTCAGTCTGGGGGAGGCTAAACAGGGGAGCCCTGGCATTCTGCAGGAGAAATGCAGACACAGGCTGTACAGAGTGGAGAGCCCGAGGCTGCTCCCGCGGATGCCTGCTCAACCTCAATGCCAGGGTCAGATGGATACAATGAACCTACCGCACTTAGCCTCAGGCTTGCTGTGTGGACTTAACGCATCTGGATTATGGTGGGTGCTTAGTAAATGTCAGTCTGTCAGCCTGCCCCTCTCTCATTCCTTCTGGTTCCCCCAGATCTAAGCTGAGCCAGAGCCCCTAGATCAGGGATACTCACAGGATGTAGGTGATGACGCCTATGCTCCTGCAAAATAAAGAACAGTCAAGTCAGGGCCGCCTGGGTCCAATCCCCGACGAGCAAGGACACCCTCATGGATCTCAGGGGAAGAGGTCACTTGCCTCCTCCACAGTAGACCCTGGATGCCGTCTCATGCTCCACACCCCTCTCCATCCCTCTCCTCAGCAGCAGCCCGGGATGTGTGTGGAGTCATCGAGCTCCGAATCCTGAGTCTGAAGACCCAAGTTCAAGATCAGACTCTTGCACTTGCAGGCTGTGTGATTTAGGTAAGTCCCTTACCACCTGGGAGCCCTTTTCCCCTTATAAAATGAGGATAATGATAACTACCTCACAGGACTGTTGGCAGGATTTTAGAAAACCAGGTAACAAAGGTGCTTGGCCAACTGTAAAGCAAGGTCCAAATGAAACGAGTCCCATCTGTGCAGAGAACTAATCCCTGCAGTATCCGCAGGCCCAGCACAGTGCCCAGAATGCATGGACTTTCAGTGACCACTCGGTTGGCCGACTGAGTGAGCTACTGTTACTATTATATTTAACCCGGCTGGGGCAGGCCCAGGGGTGAGCCTGCACCCTCCACCTTGCCTCTCTTTTTGCTCCTCCATTCCTGATAAAGCTCTGACCTGGCCAGGAGCTAACTGGCCTCAGGTCCAGGCCTAGAGGCCTCCAGCTGCCCTGGCCACAGGTCTAACATATTGGGGGAGCAGCCAGGGGCTCTGAACAGTGAGTGTGGAGTAAGGGGCTTTCATGGTTAAGGGGATGTCACCTGGAGCAGGATCTGAGGCCTTCTGCCCTTGGAAAGATTGCTAGGTCACCTGGGTGGCCTGTCCAACTTACCACATGTCAGCCTCCAGACCCAGGGGTTCGTAGTTCACAATTTCTGGAGCTGAAAGAAATCATATTAAATAGTCAACATGAGTGTGAAAATGAGAGGAGAGATGGTTGTAGGGAATTTTAGGGAATTTGGTGCCAAATGTCTCCATCCTGAATCTCCAGGAAAATTAGAGCAGCAGATAAAGGTGATCTGCGTCTAAGATTTCTGAGGAAGGGAGTTGCCATGGCCCAAATGTTTGTGTGTCCCCAAAATTCATATGTTGAAAGCAAATCCCCAATGCAATAGTATTAAGAGGTATAGTCTTTAGGAGGTAACTAGGTCATGAGAATGGAAACCTCTCAAGTGGGACTAGTACCCCTATAAAGAGGCCTGAGGGCTGGGTGTGGTGGCTCACACCTATAATCCTAGCACTTTGGGAGGGTGAGGCAGGAAGACTGCTGGAGCCCAGGAGTTGGAGACCAGCCTGGGCAACACAGTGAGACCCCATCTCCACAAAAAATTTTTAAAAATTACCTGGGTGTGGTGGTACATGCCTGTAGTCCCAGGTACTTGGGAAGAGGCTGAGGTGGGAGGATTGCTTGAGCCTGGGAAGGTTGAGGCTGCAGTGAGCCATAATTGTACTACTACTCCAGCCTGAGTGACAGAGTGAGACCCAATCTTAAAAAAAAAAGGGAAAGAAAAAGAAAACGAGGCCTGAGAGAGCTTGTCTGCCCCTTTGGTCATTTGACAACTTAGCAAGAAGGTGCCATCTATGAAACAGGGTGAGCTCTCACCAGATTCCAAAGGTGCCTCACTGGCACCTTGACCTTGGCCTTCCCATCCTCCAAAACTGTAAGCAATAAATTTCTGTTGTTTATAAATGACACACTTTAAGGTATTTCATTAAAGCAGCCCAAAAGGACTAAGAAAAGAGTTGTCTGTTATCCTGGTAGAAACCTTTTACAAATAGGCGTTGATAGGAAAAGGAAAAGTACACCGAACACCTGAAAAAGGAAGAGGAGAGCAGGGAGAGGAAGGTACAGGAAGGAGAAATGGGGCCTTGGCTATGCAGCCTGCTTTAGAACTCTCTGGTAAAGACCAGTCATGTCAGTGCCGGAAAGCGATGAAGAAGGCATTTTCCTCTGAGTCTGGTCTGAAAGAGGGTCCCTCCCACCTGATGAGCAGGAGGACATTCTTGGGGGCCCCTGAGACAATGAGCTTGAGGTGCATGAGGGGCAGCCAGGGGAAGATGTCCAGGGGCAGGCTTCAGGGGAGTGGGTCAGAGCCATCATGTTTGGAGCCATCCATGTACAGGAAGGAGCAGGAGCTGAGCCAACGATGTGACGACCAGGAGAGGGTGCAGAGTCTAGGAGAGATGGCTCTGCCAAGGAGACAAGAAGACCAAATGCTCCCCAGAGATCAAGCAGATAATCCCCGGAAAGTGAGTGTTGAATTTCACAGCCCCGCAGTGCCCAGAGTGTCAAGAAGGTACAGGCTGGGCATGGTGGCTCACATCTATAATCCCAGCACTTTGGGAGGCCAAGGTGGGTGGATTACTTGAGGTCAAGATTGGAGACCAGCCTGGCCAACATGGCAAAACCCCATCTCTACTAAAAATATAAAAAAATTAGCTGGATATGGTGGCAGGTGCTTGTAATCCCAGCTACTTGGGAGGCTGAGGCATGAGAATTGCTTGAACCTGGGAGGTGGAGGTTGCAGTGAGCTGAGATCATGCCACTGCACTTCAGCCTGGGTGACAGAGTGAGACTCTGTCTGGGAAAAAAAAAAAAAAAAGGCCAGGTGTGGTGGCTCATAGCGGTAATCCCAGCACTTTGGGAGGCCAAGGTGGGTAGATTACCTGAGGTTGGGAGTTTGAGACCAGCCCGACCAACATGGAGAAACCCTGTCTCTACTAAAAATACAAAATTAGCTGCACGTGGTGGCACATGCCTGTAATCCCAGCTACTCAGGAGGCTGAAGCAGGAGAATCGCTTGAACCCAAGAGATGGAGGTTGCAGTGAGCCAAGATCACGCCATTGCACTCCAGCCTGGGCAACAAGAACGAAACTCCATCTCCAAAAAAAAAACAAAAAGAAGGTACAAACAAGTGGAGGTAAGAGCATAGATAACACTTTTTAAAAGCTTGGCGATTATGGAGACAAAAGAGAGGACAATAGCTTGAGAAGGACTGTTCATCCATGCTTTTTACATTTTCACTGCTACACAGTAATCCATCATGTGAATGTGTATCATTTTTTAGTCATTCTCTCAGAGTTCGTTTAAATGGCTTCCATTTTAAAAAATTATTGAAACGACATTGCTATGAATTTTTTTTTTTGCATGTGTTTCCTAATGTGCACATGAAAGACTTTCTTTAGGTCAGTGATAATTCAAAGTGTGGTCTGCAGAGACAAACAGTCCACAGACTGTCACTGGTCCAACAAGATAGGCACAGAAATTTGGACTATGCATTTACAGACTCTTATAGCAATGTGACACTGCTGTGACATCCAAACTGTGGTCATTTTTCTAATAATTTATTTGTTTTTATTTTTATTTTTTTGAGACAGAGTTTCATTCTTTTTGCCCTGTCTGGAGTGCAATGATGCGATCTCGGCTCACTGCAACCTCCACCTCCTGGGTTCAAGTGATTCTCCTGCCTCAGCCTCCCAAGTAGCTAGGATTACAGACACATGCCACCAAGACAAGCTAATTTTATATTTTTAGTAGAGACAGGGTTTCGCCATGTTGGCCAGGCTGGTCTCAAACTCCTGACCTCAGGTGATCCACCTCCCTCGGCCTCCCAAAGTGCTGGGATTACAGGCATGAGCCATAGCACCTGGCCTAAGAATTTATTTTTTATTGTATCTTACTGAAGTAGCAGTTCAGGACAGACTGATTTTTTTTTTTTTTTTTTGAGACAGGGTCTTGCTTATTTACCCAGGCTGGAGTGCAGTGGCACAATCACAGCTCACTGCTGACTCAACCCCCTGGGGTTAAGCGATCCTCCCACCTCAGCCTCCCAAGTAGCTGGGACCACAGGCATGTGCCACTATACCAGCTATTTTTTTAATTGTTTTTGTAGAGATGAGGTCTCACTACATTGCCCAGGCTGGTCTCAAATTTCAAGCCTCTGGCCTCAGCCTCCCAAAGTGCTGGGATTACAGGCATGAGCCACCACGTCCAGCCGAATTTTTTTTTTTTTTAAAGCTTTCATCATAGATTGAGAAGCAGAACTCACTTTCTCATGCCATTGATCTGAGATATATACACTTTTATTTCTGTCATCAACATGCTTTTATTTGTCTGGTTTTTTTTTTTTTTTTCTGTGCCTTTCTTTTCCTTTCTTGCCTTCTGTAAAACAAAGACTTTCGGTTTCATTGTTTTTTCCCCAACTTCTTTTTTTTAACAACTATCTTTGAGACAAAACTGTGGATATCTAACAAATTCTAATATAAATCAACATTTTGATGCTCCTCTAACAATCTAAAAACCTCAGAACATTAATTTTAAACACTGATCCATCTAACATTTTCTTCATGTTTTAGTTTTAACCTATTTTTTTTTTGAGACGGAGTCTTGCTCTTATCACCCAGGCTGGAGTGCAATGGTGCCAACTTGGCTCACTGTAACCTCCACCTCCTGGGTTCAAGCAATTCTCCTGCCTCAGCCTTCCGAATAGCTGGGATTACAGGCACCCACCGCCACTCCCAGCTAATTTTTGTATTTTTAGTAGAGTTGGGGTTTCACCATGTTGGCCAGGCTGGCTGATCTTGAACTCCTGAGCTCAGGTGATCTGCCCATCTCAGCCTCCCAAAGCGCTGAGATTACAGGTGTGAGCCATGGTGCCCAGCCTATTGTTTTGTTTTTTGAAACACACTCTCACTGTCGCCCAGGCTGGAGTACAGTGGTGCTATCTCGGCTCTCTGCAACCTCTGCCTTCCAGGTTCAAGCAATTATCCTACTTCAGCCTCCAGAGTAGCTGGGACTACAGGCGTGAGCCACAATGCCTGGCTAATTTTTTGCATTTTTAGTAGAGGTGGGGTTTTATCATGTTGCCCAGGCTAGTCTCGAACTCCTGGCCTCAAGTGATCTGCCCGTCTTGGCCTCCCAAAAATCCTGGGATTACAGGCATGAGCCACTGTGCCCAGCCATCATCACAATTTTAGGCAGAAAAATGTTTATATTTGCTTAATATTTACTGATTTCTTTGCTTCTCTTACTTCTTGCTTTGAGACCTCCCTTCAGAGTTCATTTCTTTAATTCAGAAGTACATCTTTTAGAACTTCTGCTAATGATGGTCTATTGGTGGTAAACGCTATATCAATGTTTTGGGGGTTTTTTAATTGTTCTTCTTTGTTTTTCTTACATCTTTGCCCTCATTCTTTGTTTTTTGTTTTTTGTTTTTTGTTTTTTTTTCTGATACATGATCTCACTCTGTTGTTCAGGCTAGAGTGCAATGGCGCGATCTCAGCTCACGACCACCTCTCTCTCCTGGGTTCAAGTGATCCTCCTGCCTTAGCCTCCCAAGTAGCTGGGATTACAAGCGTGCACCGCCACATCTGGCTAATTTTTGTATTTTTAGTAGAGGCAGGGTTTCACCATGTTGGTCAGGCTGGTCTCGAGCTCCTGACCTCAAGTGATCCACCCGCCTTGGCCTCCCAAAGTGCTGGGATTACAGGCATAAGCCACCATGCCTGTCCTCACTCTTGAGATATATTTCTGGGCACACAATTATGGGTTTACTTTTATTTTTCATCAGCTCTTTGGAGATAATATTCCACTGGATACTGGCTTCCACTGTTGTTCGGAGAAATATGCTGTTGATCTAATTATTGTTCTTTTGTAGGTATTTGTCTTCTCTGACTGCTTTGTCTTGGTACCCTTCAGTTTCACTATAATGTATCTAGGTAAGATTTTTGTTTTTTCTGCATGGTATGTATTGTCCTTTCTGTGTCTGTGGATGCATGGATGCAGTTCGGAAAATTCTCAGCCATTCTCTTCAAATAGTGCTTCTCCTTTTTTTTTGTCTCTATTTCCTCCTTTTAGAATTCCAAAGAGACCTGTGATGGGTTTTCTCTTTTTACTCTCTTACTTTTCCTCTCTTTCATTTTCTACGTCTTTGTCACTCTGTGGTGCTCTAGCTAACTTTTTTTTTGAAACGGAATCTCGCTCTGTTGCCCAGGCTGGAGTGCAGTGGCGCGATCTCGGCTCACTGCAAGCTCCGCCTGCCGGGTTCACGCCATTCTCCTGCCTCAGCCTCTCGAGTAGCTGGGACTATAAGTGCCCGCCACCACGCCCGGCTAATTTTTTGTATTTTTAGTAGAGACGGGGTTTCACCGTGTTAGCCAGGATGGTCTCGATCTCCCAAGCTTGTGATCCGCCCACCTTGGCCTCCCAAAGTGCTGGGATTACAGGCGTGAGCCACCGTGCCCGGCCTCTAGCTAACTTTTTTCAGCTCTTTCAATTCTTCGACTCTCTCCTTCGCTGTATATAATCTGATGTTTAACCCATTCACAGAGTTTTAAATTTCAGCAATTAAATTCCTTCAAGTTCTATTATCCAGTTCTTTTTAAAATTCATCTGGTCATTTTTGACACCTCTTGTTGCTTGCTCATTCTTGTGAGTCTACCTTTTATTTCTATGTATATAAAATGTACTTTAATGTGTATATTCCACTAGTGTATATATTCCATCCATCAGATGTTATAGTCAACATCTGATAATTCCAGTATCTTATGTCCTTGAACGTCTAAATTTTGCTAGTCTCTAACTGAAGTGGTGACAAGCGAACTTGCCTCTAGGGGAGGTCCTTCTGTTGAATTTTCTTGCTGCTCACTGCTCTAGCTCCAACTTATCAGCTTTTGGGGGTGGGACAGGTGGTGCTGAAGGAGTTACTATGTTTAAAGATTTCTCTGACCAGGAGCGGTGGCTCACTGGCTCACGTCTGTAATCCCAGTACTTTGGGAGGCCAAGGCAGAGGGATCACTTGAGGTCAGGAGTTGGAGACCTGCCTGGCCAACAGGGTGAAACCCTATCTCTACTAAAAACACAAAAATTAGCCAGGCATGGTGGTGGGTGCCTGTAATCCCAGCTACTAGGGAGGCTGAGGCACGAGAATCACTTGAACCCAGGAGGTGGAGGTTGCAGTGAGCTGAGATCACACCTGTGCCCTCCAGCGTGGGCGACAGAGTGAGACTGTGTCTCAATAAATAAATAAAAATAAAGATTTCTCTTACTTTCCGTAAGACCAGAATTTCACGCAAAAGAAAATTTTTCTCAAGAATCCAGTTTTGTAAGCCGGGCATGGTGGCTCACACCTGTCACCCAGCACTTTGGCAGGCTGAGGTGGGAGGATCACTTGGGTCCGGGAATTTGAGATCAGCCTGGGCAATATAGTGAGACCCCACCTCTACAAAACATTTTAAAAATTTGCCAGGCATAATGGTGCATGCCTGTAGACCAAGCTACTCAGGAGGTTGAGGTGAGAGGATTACTTGAGCCCAGGACATTGAATCTGTGGTGAGGTATGATGGCACCACTGCACTCCAGCCTGGGTGACAGAGTGAGACCCTGTCTCAAAAAAAAAAAAAAAAAAATCCAGTTTTGTAGCTGGAGGGCTTTTTAGAACACCTAATCCACCCTAGTACTAAAAGCTGACATTAATTTTTTGACCCTGGGTCTCAGGTTACAATATCAAAGGAATGGTAGGAGCAGGGGAAAATGGTTATAACCTGTTTCTCAGGGGTCTTGGGAAAGAAAGTCATCATAATTTAGCCAAGGGTTTGGAGAAGTCATCTTATATATTTTAAGGTAAGACAAAACCAGTGCAAACAAAACCATACTGGCTCACAAAAGTCAATGATGTGTATATCTTTCCAACTCTGTATTGAGTGACAATATGCCAGTATCTTGAAATTGGCCAATGCTATAAATTAGGGAATTTGTTTTTGAGACCTGGTTGTTATTTATCAGCATACCACTGGACAAAACTCTCCATAGTACAGCCTCATCCATCAATAACCCACTCACACGAACAGTCTAGTGTGAACTCTCGGCTCCATTTGCAGTGGACAGTGACTTGTCCCTGATAAATGGCTTACTCTGGCCTTACTCCCCTGATGGGGTATCAGTGAACCTGGGAGGTGTTCCTCCTCTCCTCTGGCTCCCTCCCCACCCCTCTTCCGATACCTCTCCCACCCCAACACCAGACCTTTTTCTCTCACTCACTCAAGGCCATGACTGATCCCTTTGACTTTGCCAGAGTGGATATCTCATATGAACAGTCTTTTCAGAACATCTATTTCACTTGCTTTACACTTAATCACATCCTGTCTTGTGACACCTCTTCCATTATTGCTCTGAGTTTCTAGTTGTTTATTGTTAACAATTAGAATAAATTTAACTAATAGACATGCGTTTTTATCACATATGAGAATGGTGGGTAGCAACCACTCTTTCAGACAAAGCTCGAGTCTAGATGTCTGTGCCCCAGGTTTAAGTTGGCTTGGCCACCAACTTGTGACCTTGGGTGTGTCATTCTGAGTATGGCTGTGTCCCCCATACATCACCTAATATCTGTCATACGGTAGGTGACAAATAACTTGAGTTGACCTTAACTAAAATCCCCCAGCCTGTCATCTCCACATATGTTAAACTGGACCAGAGAATCCAAAAAGATCCTTCTGGCACTCTTATTTGGTGGTTTGATGTCTTGTCTCTACAACTGAATTGTAAGCTCTTTGAGGGCAGGGTTTCCTTAGACAACCTGGCATAACGGGAAGAGCACAGGCTTTGCTGTTGGCTGTATCTGTATTTGAATCTCAGCTCCACTGCCTACTGGTTGTGTTGCCTTGAACAAGTCACTTGTTGGAGAAAATAATTAACTCTGCTTCATGAAGCCATTTGAAGATAATTAAGAGAATGTTTGTAGAGCATGAGACATAGTGCCTGGTATACAGCAAGGGCTTCCTGCCCTGGGATCTGTGGGGTCTCTGAACAGCATTCTACAGTGGCTGCAGAGCCTGAAAATCCATCAGGAGGTTCGCCTGACACATTCTTTCTTTTTGATTTGACTGTGGTCAGAAGTTTTAGCACCCAGATTTTGAGGACATCATGCATGCCCTCCCTATCTCCAAGACCACTCCAACTCCCAAAGCAGATACACAGGTGGTGGTTCTCAGGGCTCATTCCTTCCCCCTGTACAGGCTGTTTCTTCATGACCCCAACTTCCTCCCCAAGCCCTGTAAGGAGGCTTCTGGGGTACAGAATAGGCAGGGGCCTGGGCCAAAGGTAAGAGAAACAGAGGGAAGAGAAAGCAGCCAGGGCTTCACTGGAGCTGGGCACCCCCATGCATGAATAAAGCCAGGCATAGAGGAGAGGCAAGTGGGTGGATGTGGAATTTGGCAGATGATTTCCCTTTTCCTTTTCAGGAAATCAAAAGCTAGTTCAGAGAAGGTTGAGTTTATGGGAATTCAAGAGGGCGAGGTAATTTTAAATCTTCACAAGAATAAACTCATCTAAGTGCAGGAGGTGGGGCCAGGGCTGTGAGGGTTTAACCTTATAGGCTGTAGCCCCACTGAGAGCCACTGGGCCCCATTCAGCCCTTGCCCCACTGAGCACTCAAAGGCTACACCTGGGCCCTCACCCCCAGGCCCAACAAGACATCTCCTTCTCCACCCATTAGGTTTCTAGGGATGTCCCAACGTATCATCTCTTTGCCCAGAGGCCATAGCCCCAGACACAGGTTTCTTCCCAGGATCTCTACCTTTGATGCCAGATTCTTAGCTGAGAGAGAAACAGGCCTAAAACTCACCGACAAATTCCGGCGTCCCAAAAATGTTCTTAAATTCAACTCCATCTTCTATTTCGTGAGCCAGACCAAAGTCAATCAGCTTGATGTGTGGAATAGGAATATTCTTGTCTAACAACATAATGTTTTCTGGCTGGACAACAAAAAGGAGAAAAAAAAAAAAAAGGAAGGAAGGAAGAAAAGAAAAAAAAAGACGATAATTAAAGGCTGGTTGGTTTGTGTTTTGGCTTTGGGGTTTGGGGTGGGACTTGGTGTTCTTTTTAGGAGACTGAAACAGCATAAACTCTTCCTTGTTTTTGTGTCCTCAGTCTTCTCTGTGAACTCAAAGACAGGCAAAGCATTGAGGGCAAGGCCTGGGTTTTACTAAACCTTCTGCTCACAGCAGAACTGAAGACTCTAGCCTTCATCTCCATTCTGTCTCTGAGTGGCAGATCCCTTTAATGCAGTGCCTCTGTTTTCCCATCTGTCAAATGGGGTCAGAGATACTTGCAGCATTTCCCGTAAACAAACCCAGCACTGCTGTGTGAGTGTGAAAGGGAGGGGGACATCCCAGCTTAGCCTCTGTTTATACTTGGCTTACTGACTTGGTCTTCCTGACCGCCTCTTTCCCCTGGCCAGCCAGCTTCCTGTTGACAACATTCCCCTCCTCTAGATTAACTGTGTAGCCCACATTTCTCTCTGTGTTTAACTAATTTTGGTCCTCAGCAGGACACAGGAAAAAATGCACCCCATTTCCAGGGAAAATACCAGCCGCTCAGGCTATTTCCAGCCCAGCAAGCAGCTGCCAGGTCTGACACAACAATGCAGGTGGGTGCGGGGTAGGGGACAGCCCCTCACACACCCATGGGCCTGGCCCTCGAACATCCCACACTCCCAGTGAGGCTGCAATGGAATCCTGAGCTCTCCCTTCTCACTCCCACCCAACCACTCAGACTATGGTCCCCTCTGCTTCACCCACTTTCTCCCACCACACAACTTTCCTTCACTCCACTCTAAAGGAAATGTCCCGAAAACACAATCCACACAAAATCTGTATACAAATGTTCACAGCAGCATATTCCCAATAGCCCTGAAGGGGAAACAGTGAATGAATGGATAAACAAGATGTGAACACCCATAGCACATCTAGTATCCACATGTGAATGCTATTAGGCCATAAAAAGGAATGAAGTCAAAAAAATAAAAAGGAATGAAATACTGCTGGGCACGGTGGCTCACGCCCGTAATCCTAGAACTTTGGGAGGTCGAGGCGGGTGGATTACTTGAGGTCAGGAGTTTGAGACCAGCCTGGCCAACATGGCAAAACCCCTGTCTCTTCAAAAAATACAAAAGCTGGGTGTGGTGGTGCACTCCTGTAGTCCCAGCTACTCAGGAGGCTGAGGCAGGAGAATCGCTTAACCCAGGAGGTGGAGGTTGCAGTGAGCCAAGATCATGCCACTGCACTCCAGCCTGGGCAACAGAGTGAGTCTCCATCTCAATAAATAAATAAATTAATTAATTTAATTAAATTAAATATAAAGAGGAATGAAGTATTGATACCTGCTACAGCAGCAATGAACCTTGAAAACATTATGCTAAGGGAAAGAACCAGTCACAAAAGACAAAAAATATTCCATTGATACAAAATACCCAGAATAGGCAAATCCACAGAGACAGAAAATAGATTAGTTGTCGCCTAGGATTGGGGGAATGAAGAGATGGGGAGTACAAGGTTTCTTTTCTATTTTCTATAAATGATGGTGGTGTTGGTTATTTAACTTCGTAAACGGTATACATTAAGTGAATAAATTATATAGTATGTGAATTATATCACCATAAAGCTATTAAATAAAAAAAATATTTAAGAAAATCGAACATCCGTGTTTCTTAAAGCACTCAAGGGCTTCCATACCTTGCACCTTTGCGCACGCCATCTGCTCTGCCTGGAAAGCCTTCTGTTCAGTCTCTGCCCATTGAAATCCTAGCTGGGCTTCAAAGTCTAACTCAATCCACCGTGTTCTTGCAGACTTTCCTCAGCAACCCTAAGCACCCTCCACCACCCCCAGGAGTGAGCCCCACCCTCCTCCAGGCCCCACCAAGCTTATTTGAACTTTTCTGTGATGAATATTTGGCATGCTTTCTCTTGTCTAGCGGTCCTTTGCTGTTTTCATCATAGCTCCCCTACCAGAGCTGTCTTCAGCTGGAAGGAGGATTCGTATCTTTGCATCTTTGCATCTTTGCCCCTGCAGTGCACAGCATAGCAGCTGGCGTGCTGAGGGTGACCCTAGCTGTTAGCTGGACTGATACTGAATCTGGACGGATGCCTTCCCCCATGTGCCCCTGGCTGCCTATGGTCTCTGTGACCTTCCAGCTGGAAACTTCCACTCAAGGGAGCTGGCTGAGGCCTTCCCCAACTTTTTTTCCTTTTTTAAAAAAATAAATAACACATTTCCTTTTGCATTTTTTGCTTTTTTATTCTTCTTCCCCTCTGGAGATTACTCTCAACACGGTTTTGAAAATGTGTCCAAGTCTTTCCCCAAGGCACTGCAAATTTCCCCAAGGCCGTACAGAAAGGAGCATGAGGGTAGGCGAGGGCAGCTTATGACCTGAAGAGGATCCAGGAAAGTGGGCTCACTCCAGCACCCCTGAACATCCCACTGGGGGCTGCCCATGGACCCCAAGTGTCCTGGCACCCATGCAGTCAGCTGCAACCTCCCGACTGCCAACTATCTCCCAGGTAGACAGTTTCACCCTCTTAGGAACTTCTCCTCTCCTCCAGGGAAAAGACCCTGAGACATCTCTCCGGTGCTGAAAGGCCATGGCCCCAGCCCTCCCAACCACCATAGCTGAGGGCCTAGGACACCGCCACACACCACACGCTGACTGGGGGTGGGAGCCACAGTGGGCGGAGGTGGAAACACCAGACGTGGTGATCCCCAGGACTATGGAGCAGCAGGGATGAGGTGGTGGAGGGGAAGAATTGAGGCTGAAATCTCCAAGGCAATGCTGCCTGAGAGATGGGAAGTCTCCTTCCTCATATCCACTCACCTCTGTGGCACACAGTCCAGGAGAGATGGTTTCCCCACTGGCCTATGAGAACCTCAGGGCAGGCTGGGCACAGTGGCTCACGCGTGTAATCCTAGCACTTTGGGAGGCCGAGGCTGGGGGGATCACCTGAGGTCAGGAGTTCGAGACCAACCTGGCCAATATGGTGAAACCCCATCTCTACTAAAAATATAAAGATTAGCTGGGTGTGGTGGCATGCGCCTGTAATTCCAGCTACTCGGGTGGCTGAGATAGAAGAATCACTTGAACCCAGAAGGCGGAGGCTGCAGTGAGCCGAGAACACACCACTACACTCCAGCCTGGGCAACAAAGTGAGACTCCATTTCAAAACAACAACAACAACAACAACAAAGAACCTCAGGGCAAGACCATGTTCCCCCCCCCCCCCGCCAGTCCCATCTGTCCTCAGCCCCACCCTAAGAATCTAACACACAGCAGGTGACTTCTCTCCTGCTTGGAACACTCTCCCCGCACTACCCAAACCCCCAAACCCCAAACCTGGTTAGTTCCTATTCACATTTCAGCAAAGGTAGTACCTCCTCCAGAAGGCCTTTCCTGCTCTTTCCCTGCCTACCACCCTCCCCAGTTCCCAAAGTACCCTGTAATACCCAAATGCGGTGCTTCTTACTCTGATGAGCTTGTCTGCTTGTCTCCCTCTACTGGGTTGCCCAAGGGTTTTGTTCCTGTCATCTCCCCAGAGGTTGGGATAGAGCCTGATATCCAGCAGGCGCTCAATATATGTGCCCTAAGTGAAGACAGGTGCCCCGATTAAGCCCCTGCAATATACAGGACCCAGTGCTAAGCAAACATGCGACATACTTTATACTTCATTGAACTCTCAACTACCTCACGTGCTGGGTGTTACCATTCCTCTTTTGGAAAAAAAAAAAAAAAAGAAACCACGACTGGCCAGGTGTGGTGGCTCACGCCTGTAATCCCAGAACTTTGGGAGGTAGAGACAGGAGGATTGCTTAAGCCCAGGAGTTCAAGACCAGCCAAGGCAACATGGCGAAACCCTGTCTCTACAAAAAAAATTTAAAAATTAGCCCAGCATGGTGGCACACACTTGTAGTCCCAGCTACTCAGGATACTGAAGTAGGAGGATCACCTGAGTCCAGGAGGTTGAGGCTGCAATAAGCTATGATTGTGCCACTATACTCCAGACCTGGCAACAGAGTGAGACCCTGTCAAAAAGAAAAAAAGAAAAGAAAAGCAACGAAACCAAGACTATAACATTAGCTTGTATTATCCCTCATTAGGAATTTTAACCTTTATCTCTCAGGCCCCAAAGCCTGTGCTCCTAACCACTAAACTAAATGATTCCCCTTCCTTGCTTCTCAGGGGTCTTATTAATCTAGCCCAGGGGGACCGGGTGCAGTGGCTCATGCCTGTAATCCCAGCACTTTGGGAGGCTGAAGTAGGTGGATCACTTGAGGTCAGGAGTTCAAGACTAGCCCAACATGGTGAAACTCCGACTCTACTAAAAAAGATAACAAAAATGAGCTGGGTGTGGTGGCACATGCCTGTAGTCACCACTACTCAGGAAGCTGAGGCCAGAGAATTGCTTGAACCCGGGAAGCAGAGGCTGCAGTGAGCTGAGATCGTACCACTGTAATCCAGTCTGGGCAACAGAGAGGGACTCTGTCTCAAAAAAAAAAAAAAAAATCTATCCCAGACAGAAGCAGCAATGTCACTCTGGCCTGGCAATCTGGGGCAACCTCATGCCTGGCTCAGACACAGCTGTTTCCTCCTCTGGCACCTGCGTCCTACCCCAGGTTGCCTTTTCTTCTGGTGATGCTTCCATGCAAGTGAGTAGCCCCAGACCCCATCCCTGGCCTCAGGAGCTCCTGAGCAGGAGGTCCTCAAGTCAGATGAGAAAACGGAGGTCCTGGCAGGGGGAACACCCAAGCTGGGTCTGGATAAAGGGATGTAGCCTGGGAGTTTCAGGCTGGAAGGTGGCCATGGGGCAGCAGGAATGCTCTGTTGGGTGGTCAGGACCCGGGTTCTTGTCCCCACCTTCACCACTCATTGGGCCATTTGGACCAGACATACCCACAGACTCAGACCTGCCCTGATTGGGAGTAAAGAGAGGCCATAGCTCCCTGACATCCAGTGATGTTTCTACTTCCGTCCTAGCCCACCACGGTGCCTATAGGCTGGCCAGGGGATTTGGGCCGCCAAACCTGAAGCTCCACCTGCTTTCAGACAGGCTTCCTTCTTGCTGTCCCAAGCTCCACTACTGGCCTGATGACAGCCAGGACAGAGGGCAAGGACTAACATTTACAGCATGTTTACTAAGCCAGATTTGATGCTAGTGCTCTGTGTGATCCTTGCAGCCATCCTGAGTGACAGGTACTGTTATCAACTCCATTTCACAGATAAGCAAACGGGGCTCACACAGGGCTAAATGATTTGCCCAAGGTGCAACAGTTTGTAATGTCACAGTCAGTGGGGAGCAGTGGGGTGGTGGCTTCCCTGGCAGTCCAAGCCCTTTCTTCCCAACACATCACTGAGTCTGGCTAAATATCTTCAGTGTTCCCACTGGCCACCGGAGAAAGTCCAAACGCCCTGCCTGATATTTGAGGTAGTCAAGGCACTGACTGCCCCATGCTGTCTTTCCAGCCTCACCACCCATCCCTTGCCTGTACCTGCTCTATATCCCCGCAGGGTGGGCACTACCACTCCAGAACGACATCTCAACTCCATCCTTGCTCTGGCTTGGAATGCTTCTCCTACTCCTCTTCATTTTCAGAGCCTCTTCCCCCTCAACCCTGCCTCCTCTTACTCCCTTACTTAAAAGAGAGAGAATCTTTTTTTTAAAAAAAGAGATGAGATGTTGCCCAGACTGGATTTAAACTCCTGAGCTCAAGTGATCCTCCCCGCTCAGCCTCCTGAGTAGTTGGGATTACAGACACGAGCCACCCTAACACCCAGCTAACTCCCTTAGTTCTCACTGAGCTTCCCCCGACCCTGCACTCTAACCCCTCAGTGTTGATGACCCTGGCCTGCTGGCAGTCCTAAGCTGTAGGCTGTCTCTCACAGGTGATGCCACTTTCCTAGGTGGCAGCCTTTTCCCTGGGAAAATTCAAATTGGTTTTAGGGTTCCTGGCATCCCCTGTGGCATCTTGCATCCTGCATGTTCCATTAATATTTGGGGCTCCAGAGTGCACTGTGGGCTCCAGAGTGCACTGTGATGGGGACTGAGCAGGAGGGAACGGGACTAAGGGAGGGTCCAAAAGGAAGCTAAGGGTCAGCAAAGTGGCAGTTCCCCAGGGATTTAGTCTAAGCTTCTCTGCTTCCTCCCTCCTCAAACAGAGCAGCGTGGTGAAAAAGAGGCCAGGCCTGAGGATTGGAAAACTGCACATCCAGCTCCACCACCCAAGGCCGTGTGAGCTTAAGCAGGCCACGTCCTTTCTCTGGGCCTCAGCCCCCCAACTCTGAGTCAGGCAGTGGATGGTATCCAAAGCCTCTTCAAGCTCTAGGCTCTGCAGTTTCGAGATGGCACAACCTCCCAAGCTGGCTGGGAAAATTCCTACTGCTTTGGGTTCTAAGGCAGGGCTTGTAAAGGCCCAGGTCTCCTGGCCCCAGGTCAGGAAGGAAGAACAGGCTGCTGCAACCACACACTGCTGGGTCCAAGCCAGAGTGCCCTCTGGGGCAGTCCGATCCTATCCATACTCCTCCCTCCTGTCGTTCTCCTCCAGCTTTATTTACTTCAACCAAATACTTCACCCACACACCTGACATCACCTCCAAAGCACGGCTGGAAGGAGGGGTCACATTCCCACAGGTGCCGCCACTGCCCAGCCCAGGGCCTGCCTGCCACCAGGAGGCAGAAATACCCTTGTCAAAACAAACCCACCCAGCTCATCCCACCAGGGAGGCACCCATGGGAGAGGCCAATGTGCTCCTTTGTGCTCTGGGGGATCTGGCCAGAGGTACCTGCTGTGGTGCCAACGAGAAGGTGGTCATCCGGTGGGGCACCCATGGCCTGTGGGCCCAGCACAACATGTCCTGAAGTCTGAGCAGGATGAAGACACCCTTTCGGGGCTATGTAGTAAAGTACAAAAGACAAAGGCAAGTCTGGGTTCAAATCCCAGCTCTGCTATTCACAATATGAAAATTGGACAAAGACACTGGAGCTCTTAGACGCTCAGTTTCCCATCTACAAAATGGGGGCAATACCTACTAAGCCATGGTATTGCTCTGGGATTGAGAGAGATGGTTTATGTAAGGAGCAGCACCCAATGAGATTTCAGAGAACAGCAGCTCTGTTTGCCCATTCTTTTCTGGGATGCAGCATGAACAGTCATCCCTGGGAGCTCAGACCAAATCCCCGTTGAATGGTGAATTACCTGCACTCAGCTGAACAGCCATACCCTTTCACACACCCACCTCCTTCTCCCCACTCAGCTTGTTTCCCTCCTCCCACCCCATTTCACCCCCAGACTCACATTTTTGGGGCTGCAAGGGACCTCAGAGATCATTTAGTCCCTTCATGTCACAGCAGCCCAGAGACATCAAGAAACTACCAAGGTCACTGAGCAAGAACCCCCGGCCCGGCGCCCTCTCCAGATGCCTGTGTGGCCTGCTTGCTGCTGAGTGAGGCTGCTCTGCTCAGCAAAGCAGAGGCCCAGCCGGGGCTGTGCTGTAGGGACAAGGAAGCTACCTACCAATCTTCATCGGCCATGTCAAGCACAGCCCCAGATTACTCAGGCAGTGCTGGGTAACCTGAGAAAGGAAGGCCGCTCCATGTCAGGCCTCTGTGGACAGGTTTCCAGGGTGCTCAGCTCCCTCTCCTCACACACTGTCGATGGGACCACAGGCAGCCCCCCCCCCACAAGTCTCCAGTGTGGCCCATGTCCAGTGCCTGCCTCTGTGTGGCATTCAAGGCCCTGCTGCCCCACCTCCTACTGCCTGCCGCTTTCCCTCTGCTACATCCCTACCACCTCTTCATTACCCCATCCCACCCTGCAGTTCACTCCGCTGGAACAGCCTTCCTGACAAGCTCCTTCTCCCCCTCCCCACCCAGTTCCCACACACACTGGAACTTCTTCTATGACCTCCCTCCCCTCCAACACAGAGCTAGTTGTTCCCAGCTTGCACACGCCTCTAGCAGAGAGCCAGCTGCACTACAATTCCTTCCTTACATGTCCTATCCCTGCTGTATTAAAGCCCCATGAGACAGGACAAGAGCCTTGCCTTTCATTTCCATCCCCAGCACCCAAGGGTGGCTGGCATTACAGCAGGTCCCAGTTACTGTTTACTGTACAAATAAAGAAATGGGCCAATGCAGTCACAGAGGCATCTCTTGCACATCCTGCTTTTGGAGAATATAGATAATGGCTAAGTGCGCATGCCTTGGAATCTGGGTTCGGATCCCAGCTCTGCCATTTACCAGCAGCCTGACAAGTTATTTACCAGCAGCCTGACACCGGGCAAGTTATTGAACCTCTCTCAGCATAGGTTTCTCACCTATAAATTAGGAATAACAATCATAAAACCTACCTCGAGAGGGTTACTAGGAGGATCAAATAAAGCATATAAAGAGGCCTATAGGTGTTATCTTAATTTCTGTGACTATTTCCTTGATGATGTCTCTCCCTCCCAGAATGAGAATCTTTATCATCTGTCTGTTGAACTCCTAACCACATTTCCAGGCCCTGCCCAAATCTTCTGTCCTCCAGAAGCATCATCCGGATATGCAGCCCAGCTCTTCTTCCTTCTCCCATCTCCATTCATGCAACAAGCTTGACCCATAGCACCAACCAATGCCAAGAGTTCTGTGAGTTAGTCTTGCCTTCCCCACTTGTATTTGTTCATCTCGAATTGCTGTAATGAAATACCTGATGGGCTCATGCCTGTAATCCCAGCACTTTGGGAGGCAGAGGTGGGCAAATCACCTGAGGTCAGGAGATCAAGACCAGCCTGGCCAACATAGCAAAACCCCATCTCTAAGAAAAAATGCAAAAATATTAGCTGGGTGTGATGGCACACACCTGTAACCCCAGCTACTTCTGAGGCTGAGGTAGGAGAATCGCTTGAACCTGGGAAGCGGAGGTTGCAGTGAGCGGAGATCGTACCACTGCACTCCAGCCTGCACGATGGAGTGAGACTCCATCTCAAAAAAAAAAAAAAAAAAAAAGAAAAAGAGAGATTTAACTGGCTCATGGTTCCATAGGCTATACAGGAAGTATAGCAGCTTTTGCTTCTGGAGAGGCCTCAAGAAACTTACAATCATGGCAGAAGACGAAGGGAAAGCAGGCACAGCTTACCTGGCCAGAGAAGGAGCAAGAGAGAGAGAGGGGGGAGGTGCCTCACACTTTTAAACAACCTGATCTTGTGAGAACTCACTATCATGAGAACAGCACCAAGGCACTAAGAGGGAAATTCGCCCCCATGATCCACTCACCTCCCAACAGGCCCCATCTCCAACACTGAGGATCACAATTCAACATGAGATTTGGGTGGGGACACAGATCCAAAGCATATCACTGCCAGACAGCACACTTGCTGAAGGCAGGGCCTGCTTCTTACACTCCTCCTGCGTCCCTCCACACACCCAGCCTAGAGGTCCGTGTAGAACAAAACTTGTAGCACTTCACATTTGGTCCTCACCCTGTGAAGCAAGTGCTGTCACGACCCCAGTTCTACAGATGAAGAAACCAAGGCACAAGAGATCATTTGCCCACAATGCCTCAGCTAATAGGTAGTGGAGCTGAGATTCAAGCGCAGGCTGACCCCAAATCCTGTGAGCTTTCCACTCTCCCACACAGCCTCCCTTCCTCTAGCTGATGCCAGCCTTCCTTCTGAGATCACCCTTGCCTGCTGGTTTGCCATTTCCAACCTAGCTCTGGTGCCTCATCAGTTTGCTGCCCAGCTCCATGTTTTTCCCAGAAAACCCACAGTTGTGGCTTAGGAAAGGGCCTGAACTCAGTTGCACTTGGATTTGTTAAACCACAGCCTCTGGCTATCACCCATGGCTGCCTCCTCCTCTGGGGCAGGCCACTGTGTGGCTCTGACCTCCTGTTGCCCTACTGGGTAAAGCAGGAAAGAAAACCACTACCTGCCCTGTCTCTATACTCTCATGGGATAAAGGGAGAGAAATAAAAATTCAATTTCAAGGCCATTCCAGGACCACTGGCTTTCAGTCCCGGGCTAAGCAGCACCCTGGCTTTACAGTCTGTGCCACACAACACCAGCATCTGCCACGGGCTCTCCCTGCCCTTCCCTTTATCAGACCCTCAAAGCAAATGGGTGAGGCTGGGATAGATGTTGCCCCCATCTAACCAGCGAGGAGCCTGGGCCTGGATTCAGGCATTCTGGGCACCCAGCTGTGCTTCAGGGAGTCCCCTATCTGTGCTAATTGCCTACTGAAATTCCCAAACCAACTACATCCAACTCACCAGGAGCTGGGCTCCAAGAGTTATGACTTTGAAGCAAGCCTGCAAGGAAGTTAAAAGCAGTCAGGGTCCAGTGTTTAGAAAACCAGTGCTAAAGATGGCCCCATCCTTAGGTAGATAGGGCTTCGATTCCACTTCTACCCATCCCAGCTCTGTGATCTTGGCAAGTTACTCATCTCTTTGAGCCTTGGGTCCCTCACTTGCAAAATGGGAATCTTAATATAGTAAAGCAAATATTGCCAAATGTTGAATGCAAGGAGAGGGTTTAATGATGTCTATTGTATTCTCCCAATTTCTTCAAGTGTTCTGAAATTTTTTTCCCAATAAAAAGTTTTGAAGGAAAAAGACTTCCATGCTGTGACTGCTGATAGAAACTCTTTGGTCTGGCCCTGAACCTTTACAGTCTCATCCTAACAGATCTTGCCAGTTAGATTTCTACCAAGTCTCACCTACACTCTATGCCGTCAGGTTTTAGTATGGAAATAGCTCCAGGCAGAAGTTCTACTTTCAAATGTATGCACAATTAATAAATTAATTGTTAATTAATAATTAATAAAATACAAATTAATTTTTTAAGTATGAGGGATAACTTACTAGAAAGAGAAAGCAATTTTTTTTTTTTGAGACATAGTCTCACTCTGTCACCCAAGCTGGGGTGCAGTGGTGCAATCACAGCTCACTGCAGCCTCAACTTCCTAGACTCAAGTGATCCTCCCATCTCAGCCTCTTGAATAACTGGGACTACAGGTATGTACCACCATACCTGGCTAATTAAAAAACATTTTTTTTTTTTTTTTGTAGAGACTCACTCTGTTGCCCAGACTTTCAAACTCCTGGACTCAAGCAATCCTCCTGCCTCAGCCTCCCAAAGTGCTGGGATTACAGCCATGAGCCACAGTGCCCAGCCAGAAAAACAACTATTAGAAAGAAAAAAACACAGTGTAACCAGATGAGAAATTAACTGTGTAAAGGATAAATTTATGGCACAGGATAGGGCTTTGGATTAACTGTGTATAAAAGGCATAACCTAAGGAAGTAAGAAATCTGTAATGTTAGAATCTGGTAAAATAAAATTTGGTGACCTCCAGCTTTGTTTAGTGTTTCCTCACTTGTTAAGTTCAAGTCTCAGCCCTGTCAATACTGTGTAATCTTGGGCAAGTTACTTAACCTCTCTGAATCTCCGTTGCCTGTATGTAAAAAAGTGACAAGATCCTATACTTCAGTGAGGATCAAATGAGAAAACAGACATGTAAACACACCATGTTCTAGAAAGTTCCACACACATTTGAAGTATTGTCATCCTCATGACAGCTTGGCCAGCAGACTTCATCGCATATTATTAAAGGACAGCTCACAGAATGACTCACGGCATAGAGGAATTCGGATTTTTTGGAATGTCTTACTCAAGGATTCACCCCTCTTAACACTATTTATATAAAGCAATTTCCCCCTCCCCGGGATTCTGGATTCCCGGCCCGCACAGAATTTTCATCAGTTCTCATGATGTGTTATTTTGGCATAAAATGCCATCAGGCCTGAAAACTTCACGTTCCATTTCTGACTTCTCAAGTTGGATCAGGCTTGGGTGCAGGTTAGGAGTGGGGGAAGACACACCCATACTCAGAGGGGAAGCTCCCAAATCCAAAACAAACACAAAACCACACAAAAATGCCCTTTACAAGGCCCCTTTGTGTTGGAATCACGCACAGGGGTGAGGTTCCTGGGTGATACTGAGCCCTGTTTCCTGGTGATCCATCCCGTGGAAGGTACCTCTGGTGCTACCAGGTACCGAAGGGCAGTCAGCCCCAGTGTCCCTTCCATCTATATCAAGATAGGTGATACCATCTATGCACATCACCTCCACCTACCCACATCAGAGGGCTTTCTGTGGTGAATGTACAACACACACCAGGATGATCTCCACTCTGCAGAGACAGAGAGCGCACTCCTTGGCAGTGAGCGTTTGTTGGTGAGAATTGGTTAGCTTTTATTTCCGATGGCATCCCCACCGAGTCTCACTGTGGCCAGCTCCTAGTAGATGATGGGCTCTTGGAAGGCAGGTACCATAGCACACTGATGTTTGTCACTCTACCCGCTGTCATACAGTAGACCTTCAACAAATATTCATATCAATACATTGAAATCCACCTGCAATCTCTTCTGTATTTTCCAGGTAACACGTGAAAAGGCCTTGGCCATCCACGTGTGCCTGGTTTTCACTAACGCATTCATTCATTCATTCTTTCATTCACCCATTCACTCATTTGTTCAACACTAACTCAGCATGTGTTGGGCACTAGGTAGCAGAAAGTGACTCACTGTGATCAATGCTCAGCAGAAGTTTGTACAAAGGGCCAGGTGTGCTGGCTTATGCCTGTAATCTCAGCACTTTGGGAGGCTGAGGTGGGTGGATCACCTGAGGTCATGAGTTCGAGACCAGCCTGGCCAACATGGTGAAAACCCGTCTCTACTAAAAACACAAACATTAGCCAGGAATGGTGACTGGTGCCTGCAATTCCAGCTATTCGGGAGGCTGAGACAGGAGAATTGTTTCAACCTGGGAGGCGGAGGTTGCAGTGAGCCAAGATCCTGCCACTGCACTCCAGCCTGGGAAACACAGCAAGATTCCATCTCAAAAAAAAAAGAAAAAAAAAAGTTTTTACAAAGAACAATGGAAGCAGAAAGGCAGATTACTTCTGAGTTATGCTTTTCAGAGGTGGCAAGGATGGTGAAGGTGTTCCGGAGGAAATGGCGCTTCTGTTGGGCCTTGAGTGATTAGCAGGAAGTCCATGAGCAGAAAAAAAGAAGAGCAGCAGCATCCGGGATGAGAATAGCACAAACAGAGGAGAAGAGAGGCCAGGATGTGTATCTGTATCTTGTTGCCCAGGGCTAGGTTTTGGAGAGAGGAACAGTGGATGAGGCCAGAAACAGGGCTAAGGCAGTACAAGTAAGGCCCGAGAACGCCATGCTAAGAGTGGGTTCATTCATCCTATGGCTAACAAGGACGCATCACAGATTTTTGGGCAAGAGCAAGCCATGATATGCTTTTTTTTTATTTTTTAATGTTTGTGCGTACATGGTAGGTGTATATATTTATGGGGTATGTGAGATATTTTGATATAGGCATACAATGCATAATAATCATATCAGGATAAATGGGGTATCCATCATCTTAAGCATTTACCCTTTGTGTTACAAACAATGCATTTATCGTCTTTTAGTAATTTTAAAATGTACAATAACTTATTGTTGGCTATACTCTATTGTGCTATCAAATACTAGATCGTCTTCATTTATCTAACTATATATTCGTACCCATTAACAAGTCTCCCTTCCCCCCACCCCTGGCCTGGCCCCTCTATCCTTCCTAGGCTCTGGCAACCAGAAATTTTTTTATTTCCATGGGATTTGGGGGTACCGGTGGTATTTGGTTACATAAGCTCGTTAGTGGTCATTTGTGAGATTTTGGTGCTCCCATCACCTGAGTAGTATACAATGAACCCAATTTGCAGTCTTTTATCCCT